ATAGATAGATAGATAGATAGATAGATAGATAGATAGATAGATAGATAGATAGATAGATAGATAGATGGATAGATAGATAGATGGATAGATAGATAGATAGATAGATAGATAGCATCATGTAAAAAGCCTACAGCTCCCTCTAGTGGCTGACACACAAACACATCACTTGGAGGCACCAGTGTCGTGGTGTCAAGGTGTTGATTAGAAAACTGCTCTGAAAGGATGAGGTTATGAACCTCTCTCACTGCCTTTCCTTTAGATGAAAACGTGGCTCCTTGCTCTCAGTGCAGCCATGCAAGCTGCTCATTCATAACTGGAAAATCTTCATTTATTTCCTGGTGATACTGAACCATCCCCCTCCTTCTGATCTGGTCATGAAGAGCATCCGACAGTCATGTGTGGAATTAACCCCAGAGGATGTGAGATGATTTGATTGCTGAGGATGAGTGTTCAGCAGGTTTCCATTCCACAGCCCTCCTTACATTTGGCCGTGTAGCAGATTATGATGTCACGGCGGACTAGAGTCAGCCTCTCATCTGGAGCCAGGGATCACCGTCAGGATTAAGTGCTTGTAGGTAGTAGTCTGTGGCCAGTGAATGCTCAGAAGCAGGAGCGCTGAGTCCATCAGTCCTGGCTTCTCCCCTGTGGACCTCAGACAAAATGAAACTGTGGATTTTTGCTGTGGGAAGATGAAGAACACCACAAAGATGATGAGTGACATCTGAGAGGCTTGTTTTCACTCCTTTGGTAAGTCACCGATGTGCCATGGAGCTGCTGTTTGTAAAAATAATGTTCATGAATTTCTTAGCATCAGTCTGACAAAAGGTCACATGTCATGAAGAGCAGGCCGGCAGGTTTGTGCTTCCTGTTGGGTGCACTTGTTCTTCAAGGAATTTTACTCTTGTTATCCTGTTTTCTAGACTTTGTTTGCAGTAAGCAAGATGAAGGTGAAGTGGACCATGCTGGGCATGGTGGTCTTCTTTCTGCTCTCTGTGGTCATGACCTGCTGCTTCATTTGGCAGTACAGGATGCCAAAGCTGAAGGCTGGTAAAGTTCTTTCACCAACACAGACTTTCACTCACAGACAGACTTTAGAAGACGTGTGGTTCCTTGTAACCTACAACTACTTTTGGACCTGAGCCTTCCTTAGCCTCTTTGGTGTAATTGCTCGTTTGCAGGAGCCACAGCAGGATTACACAAAGCTGGGAATAGTAGCAGCGGGATTAGCAGCGCCGTTAGAGCAGCCTTTAACTCCTGCTGAGGGACAGCAGGAGGAGGGAGTGCAGCCGAGCAGTCCTGGGTTTTCTGATAAAATCACAGCAGGCGCTCCCTTCACATGCTTTGTGTGTGACAGAAATCCAGATGTGGTTCAGACAAGCTGTGTGCTGTCTGACAAAGTCACTAAGTCACATGATAAACGCCGCCTGCAGGGACAATGAAGGGAAATACACACATTTACAAATCACTAAATTATGAACTGCACTACAGGGTTGTTTTGTGATATTGTGGATGTATTTCCTACTATTTACCACCTCTGCTGCTGTAAACTGAAGCACAGGCCTCCCTTCAGTGCAGGTCGATGAGAATCTGTACGATGCTGTCCTCCTGTGAGACTGTTTTAGATCATTTAGTGTAATGAAGTAACTGTAAATGGTTTGCGCTGATATCGCGAGCTAAGCTAGATTCTACAACGTGTTGAACAGTGTGTTTCTCATTCACAAATTCACACTCACATCAGTGGCAATGCAGTGTGCTCACCTGTCATCAGGAGCAGCTTGGGCTTCAGAGTCCCGTCTGTTCCAACCGTCATCCTTACGACTGGTGAACAGCTATCTATGGTGTGATATCATATATGCATGTCTGATTACAATAGCAGGTCTAGCAGAGTTAGCTGGGCGTCATCCACCAACCATTAATGCAATCCCCGCTGTATGAGCTTTAAAGGCCGTCCACAGTCACACCGGGGAGCTGCTGGGACAATGTTAGGCCTGTATATGTGGGATGCTTATCCTGCCTGATAGGCTGTGTCTCCAGTCTTATATATGATGGCGCTGCCTTTCCTCCTTTTCCACAGAAGTGCTTCTTAAACAAGTGAAAGCAGAGGAGATGTGCCCTCGCTTCCCCGAGCCTGTGCCCCTGGAACATCCCATCACATCCCTGAGGGTGGCCTTAGAAAAGGTGAACCTGTGCACATCATATTCATGGTGAAATGTTTTGAGGTTACACGTGGTCCTGATGACGTTTCTCCTGACAGACGGACTTACTCCTGAGGACGAGCATTCATACCACCAAGCTTCCAGCAATATCAGCCATCGTGGTTTTGAATGACTCTGTTCTGTGGAACGGAAACTTTGGCAAGAAAAACACAAGTGACCCGTCGTCATCTGCACCCAACGAGTACACAGTGTACCGGTGAGATACAGGGTGGGCAAGAGGTTAGCACACAATGGCATGACAAAGAGGAAGTGGTGATTTGTCTAAATGCCAAATAGCTATTAATTTTATCTGCCTTAAAAGCTGCTCAGACAGTCCATAATACGAGCAGCTCTGACTGAACAATAGTCATTACCACGCGTGATGTAGCTAGCAATCTAATCTAATTGTTTTACTGTGTTTGATCTGAAGCTTAGAGTTAGAATTGGGGTAAATGTTGGGATTAACTACATCTCATATAGGCCCTGTGATCGATGAGACCCAACCACTCACTATATTAAGTGTTTAAATCTACTGGAAATGTTCCGTATTATTAAACCAGGATACATTTATTTAATTAACTAACACATTTTAATCATGGTGATTGCAGAATTGCGAGCCTGTCTAAGATCTTCCCCACACTGATGCTGTACAAGCTGTGGGAGGACGGCCTGGTGGACTCTCTGGACGATCCTCTGGAGAAGTACGCAGAAAACTTCACCATCAAGAACCCACTGGGGAAAAGTGGGGGGTCAGGATCCTCATCATCCAGGACGCTCAGCAGCCTCTCACCTGCCATCACCCTGCGCAGGATGGCCAGCCAGCTGTCCGGTAACCCCAGAGCCTGCTTTAACCACATACGAGCCATATTAGATTCACATACAGCAGCACACGGCAGACAGCTGTGCAGACTGTAGATTACAGAGCTCTGAAAAGTCACCTCATTTGTTCAGTGATCAAAAATGTCGAGCTCGAGTGAGATGGACACAGCAGGTCAAGTCAAATAACGGAGATAACTCTGATAACAAAAAATGTTTAGATTTCTTTCATAGTCATGGAAAACTCTGTTTACTGCTTATCTAGCAGCTCACACTCATGCTGGCAGGACAGACACTGAGTGAACCATCAACTCACCAGATGTCCCACGCTTCGACTGACTTCAGTTTTTAGGTGTTTTTTTTAAAGTGGTGAATACTGATTGAGTTGACCATGTGGGAAATCTGTGGTTAAAGGTAACGTTAGAACTGATTTAGAAATCCCTACAGACGGGCGGGACCATCTTGATTTCTGCATCGTTTTCTTGCTGTGGTTTGCATTGTTATGGTACCACTTATCAGAAAACTATTTGAAGCACTAATGTTCTATAACTCACTACTGGAGTGGTTTCACCATCATACCTGCTCATTGCATGTTCAAATATCGGCCATAAATGCAAAACAAAATGTAAAAACAACATTTTTTCTCATGAATCCTGCCTCTGACTGGCACGTTTTGCAATTAACAGAAAACAAATCTGCCTCTTAAAAAATAGCGGTTGTATGGTTGGAGGAATATGAGAGGGGTGACAGTCATATAACTGGTTTGTGTTAGTATATCAAAGTATGGTTGTACCATTGAAGACCACGCATGCATATCAATAAGCTGTAAGATTAGCTGCACTATTCCTCCAGCTGGCACTTCAGACGTTGCTCCACAGATTGACTCAAAGAAAACTCTGCAGAAATCTCAGAACGTTACAACACCTGTGAGCAAACGTTTCACTAACGTATGCATGCACAGAAAGAAAATCTGACACAAAAGCTTTTGTTATTATTATTTGGTGAACTGAGGTGGAATTAACCAACAAGAAAAGTAACCCAGGATGTAAATTTGGCCTGCAGTTGATAAAACAACTGATTAAATCCCTGTTAAATAACGAGGAGCACCTCCTGATTCACATCTATGGGAGAAGAAGACACCGGTGGACGTCGCTTGCTGTTTGTGAAGCAGCAACAGTTCCCATCATCCCATTACATCAGAGCAGCTCAGAACACACACAGCTCAACATGTAGGTCTGCAGTCATCCATGACACCATGTGATTCCTGCTCATCATGTGTCTCTACCTTAGTTAACTCTGGCTTAGGCAAATAGAAACAGGAGCTATAATTACACTGAGCTGTGTCCAGAGATAGAGCTAATCAGCTCTTTGCACTCAGAATTACAAAGTGGGATTAGCAGAGGAGGAAGCCCAGCTGGGTGTCTGTCTGCACTCAGTTTCAGGACACAGACTCAAAGCAGAACACAAGCTGCTGGACCAGGAATAACAGGGGATGACGCTTCTCACCGCGCACTGTTAGAGATGTTGAATGCTAACAGTTGCTAACATGCTACTGAAGTATGATAAATCAGATGATCGCCAGAGTTCCTACAACCGACTGCCTGGTCAGTCTGACCCTGAGCATACATTTGGTTGGGATAGTGAAAGATGTTTAGCTCTGGCCTGATGAACACACAGCACTGAGAGCTATTCTGCTCAACAGATTTACCCACCAGTTTTACTCACTAAGGTTTAATATTTTTACAGGGTTGCCCAGAAGATTAAGGTCAACTAATCTCCTTTGGAGCGGAGACACGGAGGCAGCCCTTAATTTGTTACAGGATGATGTTCTTGTGGCAGATCCAGGCACAAAGTAAGACTCTGGTTCCTGTTCTGCTCTGATTTTGATGACATAAGATTATTTCTGTGGTGTGAAAGGAAAGAGCAAGTGGGCATAGAGTAAGCATCTGCAGGTACTTTGTGTCCAAGCAGACAGAAACACCGCTAACATGACTTTTTGTTCTCCATCAGATGCCACTACAGCAATGTTGCTTTCTCCTTATTGGCCAACATCTTGGCCCAAAAGGTGACTGGCTCAGACTTTGAGAGTTGGGTTTCAGACAACGTTCTGAAGCGCCTCAACATGGAGGACACTGGTTTTAACCTGACTTCGGCCATTCAGAAGCAGATGGCTGTCGGTGTGTACAGCAACGGCCAGCCCGCTCCCCTGTACAACCTCGGCTGGTACCGGCCTGCGGGTCAGATGTATTCTACAGCAGCTGACATGGCCAAGCTTATGATGGCTCTTCTGGGTGCGTACAGAGGAACGCTGCTCCGCCAGGACACGCTGAACACCATGCTGACGCCGGTCATCCGATGTCACAGCGGCTACTTTGCCAACTCCACTGGCACGCCGTGGGAGATCAATGAGCAGTTTGGCTACGATGTGGTGAGGAAGGACGGTGACCTGGATGGATTCGCAGCCACCCTCTCCCTGGTGCCGCGTCTGAAGCTGGGTCTAGTGATCCTGATGGCCGGGGTCCGTCCTGCCGACAGGGACCTGGTGAGCCAGGCGTACAGCTATCTCATCCCCGCCGTGGAGAATGCTTTCAGGAACGCTCGACGAATTCTCAGACCGCCACCTGACCCAGCTCCATATATCGGCTTTTTCACTTACAGGAACATGACTTTCTATGAGATTAAGGTGGATTCAGACAAGGTGCTTGTCATGCAGCAATTTGGACCACAGGTGGACTCAAATGTGCCATCCAAGTACCGAACTATCAGGCTGGATTACCTGCAGGACAGGGTGTTCAGGGTGGTGTTTGAGAGCCCGTACCCTTGCAAGATGAAAGTTAACAGCGCCTCGGTCTCCCTGGAGGCGCAGGACAGACAGCTCTTCAACTTTTACGTGTTCAACAAAAAAGGTGTGTCGCCGGGGTTTGACTCCCCAGGACTCAACACCTACAGGGTGATGAGGGTGTCCGGCAGACCATACTTTACCTCATAAACACTGGAATTCAACAAGTCCGCCACTGTAACGGTGGATTGTCAAGGACAGATGTGGTGGGAACCTCGATGCTAAAAATACATGACAGTTTTTTACTGTATTGTCGGTGTAATGAAAGTCTGTCTTGCTAAGGTTGCTATAACTATTCAGGATTGGTATTGTCATATTATTTATTCAATAGTCTTGTGCAAAATATACTCCACTACCTAGTCTTGTCCAAATATTCGAATCAATCTGTGACAGTTATTCTTCTGCTGAATAACTGGTACTTGTGTATAAATGTTTACTGAGGGGTGTTTGGTTCATGTCCAGCATGGTGACATCTCCTTTACCTTCTAAGTGCCTACAGTGTGACCGACAAGAGGACAAACAACTCATACAAATGTTTAAGATTTTCAAGAATCAGTTCCAGCAGGGCAGCATGTAAACATAGTGTCCATGAGCAATAAATCTACAAGTTTTGGGTATTTTGTGGTTTTCACATCTGCCCCAATCGAGAGGGTACCTGTGGTCTGTGTGGGTTCACGTTGGACCGCTGTGTGGATGTCCATGTGCAGCAAGTTTGTGTCATATCATTGTTAGGTGGGCATATGCTCTTCTGTGTTTTAAAAAAAATCTTTTTCATGTTGTTTAGCCAAATTCAGATCAAATACAGATCTCTTCTTTGTGCTGTCATGATGTTTTCTATCCTGGGTGGAATGCAAACCCTTGATTTGTACGATGTAAAGACGCATGAGACGCTACAGACCTACAGTCGTGTGCATCCATTCTGTAGTGTGAGCAAGGCTTAGCGGGCCTAAAGTTAGAACAGCATGACCCTTATTTGTAGGAGAATCTTCAGCCTAACTTAGCCTGTATGGAGCTGCATTAGCTTTGAGATGTCTTGGGAATGAGTTTCCTGAGGCAGGTTCATGTACCTAAGAGGCTTTTCACCTTACATGACAGGTTCTGGGCAGGTGG